ATTTTTTACTATATTTTTGGTTAGAGAAAATAAAATTACAATTTTTATTTTATTTTATTATTCTTTTTATCAATTTTATTGCATTTTTTTATTAACAATTCATAAATCTTTATAGCTTATCCCCACAAATGTATATACTGTATTTATTTATATATATATATAAAAGCAAGTTTGCTCCAGTTTCTTTCTTTTTAATAAAAAATATATAAAATAAATAAAATATATAAAATATAAATTAATATATTTTAAGCTTTATTCTAATATATTTTAATTAAAAGTAATATTAAATCACTTAATATATGAGTCTATAGAATGATTTGATGCCTGTAAACTTAATTTATTTTATTTTATTGAATGATAATGTTTTGCAAATATATAAATAAAAATACACAGAATTTATCTGTATATTTTAACCATATATTTATCTCAATATATATATTTATATTCAGCAATATAAAGTGTAAACTCAGAAAGAAAACCAATTAAAAAGTACATACACACAGTCGACCCCCCTATAACACTGTTGATTATNAAAAAAAGTGCATTAATAAAAAAAGGGGCAACAACAGGAAATTAAGTTACGCATGGACAGCTTGGAATCAAATTTCTCTTTAATAATATATTCAAAAATATGCTCTACTATAAAATTATGTAAAATTTGCTCTACTTAACACTTATTCTGTAGGGTTTTAAGTAGTTTAAATAGGGTAAAAATTCCCTATATAACACTCACCCCTTTAGTCCATTCATTCGTATTGTTTTACTATATAAATTAATTTAAGGAATATTAAAATTCTGTTAGGGAATATAATAGGGAAATTACCTTATTTAAGGTAGTAATAATAATAATTTTCGCGATTTTTTTTAGTTATTTAACTTTAAAAAATCGTGAAAATTATACAAGTAGTACAGTACATTAAAGGGTAGGAAGGTTTTCCCCTATGGGTGTAGGGTTTATCCCTAAACAAATTAGTGTATCCTTCAGAAAAATAGATAAACGGTCGCATTCGAAAAATTACAAATTAATATTTATTTATAAAAGGACAAATTCATTTTTTTCTTATAAATAAATATTAGTTCCACCTCAGAAAACACAATCTCACCTAAAAATATACATTTATATACATATAAAGTAACCCTACAGAGAAAAATCATTTTAAAAAGAAAAAAAAAGAGGTAAATAAATACTAAGAAAACGTTAAACAATTATAAAGACCTTGAGAAAAAAAATTAAATAAATTTTAAGGTAAATAAAAGCATAAAAATCTGAAGTTCTCTCTCTCTCCTTTTAAATAATTACTTTTATCTCCTTTATATATATTAAAATTAATTTCAGTGCATTTTTATACGAAAAAAATATAGAATTTTATATTTTAATATCGATTATAAAATGAATTTTTATATAAATGTACCTCAAATTCCATCTAATTAAAATTCTTCTACCTCCGTTTCTAGAAGCAAAATTCATTATTTATAAGCGTTTAACGTATAAAAAAAACTTTATATATTTTAATAAAATACTATTTTATAACGTTTTAAAGTTAAAAATAAAGAAATAACATGTAAATTTTCCATAAATAAATCCTTAAATTCGAAATAATTAAATTCACCGTCCACACTATACGTGAAGGATCTATTACGTTTCTAGACGTTTAACGTACGCGAAAACTTATGTATTTTATTAAAAACATATTTTATAACGTTTATAACGTATAAAATAAAGAAATAAGAAGTAAAATTTATTTAAAAAATAAATAAATAAGAACCAACAGTAGGCAGCGACTAAGTACTGTATACAACAGTACGCTCGATCTCCATTAGTATCACCGGCGAAATTAGACCCCCCAGCACAGAAAAAACTGCAAAAAATTATTTATAATTCTTCAAAGATAAAGAAAAATATATTTTTAAGTTAATGGGAATCATGAAAAACGTTTTTTTTTTCTTCCATTTTTTTTTCTACGAATTTAAGGAATGAAATTCGAGAAGATGGAGGCGAATCTCCGGGAATCGAAAACGGATAGCATTTCTTCAAGATTCTTCTTAAATATTTTTTAAACCCGAAAATTACATTCATAAAAGGTGGGAAATCAAAAAACTGTGAAGGTCTTTGACACCGGAATTATATATAATATAAAATATATATATATATGACGTCAGCCGTGACGTTCGAATAATTCGTACGATTTAAAAATACACCCCTGCCCCCAACGATACGAAATTCATAAATTAATTTGGAAAAATTAAACGCGCGATTTAAAAGAAAGGAATTTAAATTATAATTTTGGAGTCATCGAGTAGGAAAGAAAAAAAAAGGGGAGAGAGTAAACACAAAATCGATGACGTCACGAGTGAAAACAAACAAGCGATTAATCGATTCGAATCGATTACGTGCGGCTTAATTATATAAAGGGCAAGAGGTTGCGATCATTTTGGAGAAGTGGTAATCGGTAGCGGGACAAAGACACCTCTAGCACCTCACTTAACAAAAGTGGATGAGAAAACCCAGTAGCTACGGTATACAACCAGACGCCCATATCGCCTGTAGCGACTACAAGCTTTTGGCTTTCTTTGTTCGTTGGAGACCGCCAGCCAGCTGACTAGAAATCCCCCGTCACCTCCCACCATCCCCATCCTTTAAGTTAAAAACGTCCGAATTGTAGAAGAAAATAATAGAATTACCTCTTTTAATATCAACGCTTCTGCCGTCTTTGGCGTCTTCTGTCTGACTACTCTCGCCTGCTATACGTTCTCCGCTACCCGACTCGACCTTGGCACCACATGAAACACTCGCGATGTCGGCCATATTGATTAGCTACCCCACCCAACATCCGGGCATTGCGTGCTGGACACACCCAGTCCTTCTCCACACCCACTGCTCTCGCTCCCTCCAGCTCACTATTTTCACGCTTCCTGACACGGCTCCCGCCACCGCTGCCATGGTAACAGTTTTAGTACATATACCGGCCGCTACGGCGCTCCGTACGCATCCCCTTTTACCGCTTCGAATTTTCCTATCTCTCCGACACGTGCTATTGTTTACCGCTTCGGCCTGTAGTCCATTCATTCGTATTGTTTTACTATATAAATTAATTTAAGGAATATTAAAATTCTGTTAGGGAATATAATAGGGAAATTACCTTATTTAAGGTAGTAATAATAATAATTTTCGCGATTTTTTTTAGTTATTTAACTTTAAAAAATCGTGAAAATTATACAAGTAGTACAGTACATTAAAGGGTAGGAAGGTTTTCCCCTATGGGTGTAGGGTTTATCCCTAAACAAATTAGTGTATCCTTCAGAAAAATAGATAAACGGTCGCATTCGAAAAATTACAAATTAATATTTATTTATAAAAGGACAAATTCATTTTTTTCTTATGAATAAATATTAGTTCCACCTCAGAAAACACAATCTCACCTAAAAATATACATTTATATACATATAAAGTAACCCTACAGAGAAAAATCATTTTAAAAAGAAAAAAAAAAGAGGTAAATAAATACTAAGAAAACGTTAAACAATTATAAAGACCTTGAGAAAAAAAATTAAATAAATTTTAAGGTAAATAAAAGCATAAAAATCTGAAGTTCTCTCTCTCTCCTTTTAAATAATTACTTTTATCTCCTTTATATATATTAAAATTAATTTCAGTGCATTTTTATACGAAAAAAATATAGAATTTTATATTTTAATATCGATTATAAAATGAATTTTTATATAAATGTACCTCAAATTCCATCTAATTAAAATTCTTCTACCTCCGTTTCTAGAAGCAAAATTCATTATTTATAAGCGTTTAACGTATAAAAAAAACTTTATATATTTTAATAAAATACTATTTTATAACGTTTTAAAGTTAAAAATAAAGAAATAACATGTAAATTTTCCATAAATAAATCCTTAAATTCGAAATAATTAAATTCACCGTCCACACTATACGTGAAGGATCTATTACGTTTCTAGACGTTTAACGTACGCGAAAACTTATGTATTTTATTAAAAACATATTTTATAACGTTTATAACGTATAAAATAAAGAAATAAGAAGTAAAATTTATTTAAAAAATAAATAAATAAGAACCAACAGTAGGCAGCGACTAAGTACTGTATACAACAGTACGCTCGATCTCCATTAGTATCACCGGCGAAATTAGACCCCCCAGCACAGAAAAAACTGCAAAAAATTATTTATAATTCTTCAAAGATAAAGAAAAATATATTTTTAAGTTAATGGGAATCATGAAAAACGTTTTTTTTTTCTTCCATTTTTTTTTCTACGAATTTAAGGAATGAAATTCGAGAAGATGGAGGCGAATCTCCGGGAATCGAAAACGGATAGCATTTCTTCAAGATTCTTCTTAAATATTTTTTAAACCCGAAAATTACATTCATAAAAGGTGGGAAATCAAAAAACTGTGAAGGTCTTTGACACCGGAATTATATATAATATAAAATATATATATATATGACGTCAGCCGTGACGTTCGAATAATTCGTACGATTTAAAAATACACCCCTGCCCCCAACGATACGAAATTCATAAATTAATTTGGAAAAATTAAACGCGCGATTTAAAAGAAAGGAATTTAAATTATAATTTTGGAGTCATCGAGTAGGAAAGAAAAAAAAAGGGGAGAGAGTAAACACAAAATCGATGACGTCACGAGTGAAAACAAACAAGCGATTAATCGATTCGAATCGATTACGTGCGGCTTAATTATATAAAGGGCAAGAGGTTGCGATCATTTTGGAGAAGTGGTAATCGGTAGCGGGACAAAGACACCTCTAGCACCTCACTTAACAAAAGTGGATGAGAAAACCCAGTAGCTACGGTATACAACCAGACGCCCATATCGCCTGTAGCGACTACAAGCTTTTGGCTTTCTTTGTTCGTTGGAGACCGCCAGCCAGCTGACTAGAAATCCCCCGTCACCTCCCACCATCCCCATCCTTTAAGTTAAAAACGTCCGAATTGTAGAAGAAAATAATAGAATTACCTCTTTTAATATCAACGCTTCTGCCGTCTTTGGCGTCTTCTGTCTGACTACTCTCGCCTGCTATACGTTCTCCGCTACCCGACTCGACCTTGGCACCACATGAAACACTCGCGATGTCGGCCATATTGATTAGCTACCCCACCCAACATCCGGGCATTGCGTGCTGGACACACCCAGTCCTTCTCCACACCCACTGCTCTCGCTCCCTCCAGCTCACTATTTTCACGCTTCCTGACACGGCTCCCGCCACCGCTGCCATGGTAACAGTTTTAGTACGTATACCGGCCGCTACGGCGCTCCGTACGCATCCCCTTTTACCGCTTCGAATTTTCCTATCTCTCCGACACGTGCTATTGTTTACCGCTTCGGCCTGCAGGCGATGCGTGGAAATTATTTAAGTTTCGGGCGAAGAAGAAGAAGAAGAATGGTTAATGGGATTACAATGCAACTTCTTTACGTGTTGCACGGCCATGTTGAGGTTTCGAGTTATGTAATAATTGTTTAAGGGGAACGGGGCGGAGTGAATCATTCACGTCATGTGTGCCCGTCTCCTACTTTCTACGACAGGAATTCGCACGATGTTCATGTTAAGTTCTCTCCGAGTGGGCGCCGAAAATACGCTGAATTACTCCATGCAAATTACTCAAATAACACGAGAAAAAGTACAGTTTTGCGGGATTTTTTTTCCATTCGAAAACCTGGAGAAATAAATAACCTTACAAACAGTACAACCTTCGACTCTACTCATGCCTTTTTATAGCGATAGTGAGTATATCTATGGCATATTTTAGGAGCTGATATACTTTTAAAGAATGTCGGCGCCCTCTTTTAAGAATGGGGAGTGTGCGTGCGGCATCGATTTTACTCCACTTTATCACAGAATTTTCGGATCCCGAAATTTCCTATCGCCTCCTTTCAAAGTAGGACCCCCTATAATCCGAGTTAATCGATAAATTACGTGACGGGATCGGAAAATAAACCAGCTTCGGACACGTCGAAACATTAGAAATTCTCACACAAAACCCCCCTAAACAAGGGTTTGTGTGTGTGTGTGTAATTGTTTGATGTCATGCGGTTTGAATCTTCCATGCAAAGGGGAAAGAAAAAATAATAATAATAATAAAAATCCGTCTGGAGGAAAATAAACTGTCGGTTTTACAAAAGACCTTGAAGTGTGTAAATTTGTGCTCAAAGCACGAACTTTACAAATGGGAAACTCCCCCTGACCTATCTTACCTGAGCATAGGAGAAGATAAACATTTTTCGCCGCGTATGTCGCCTGTACAGGACATCTGACAGTAGGAAATGCACCTGTTCTATTCTGTATGCAGCCAACGCTCAGACTAATTTGCTGGAAATATGTATGGAAACGCCTAATTCTCTACAATGTATCCTTAATGAATAGACGAATATTCATAAATTCGTCAGAGTATACTTTCAGAGAAATAATATAAAAAAAATTAAGCAATAAATATGCAAAGAAATCCGATAAAAATGCCTTTAAAAGTAGGATATATGAGAAATCGTGTCTGAAATTACGAACAGACAAACAGGAGTGCGTATTTTATACAAAAAGGAATGTCTTCGATCCCGGAAGTCCAGGGTTGACGTGTCTAGCGCTAACTGTTGACTGTAAATTTAAAGAAAAATATATTATTTAAGCTTAAAACATCGCTCTTGGATATATACGCTCATGAAATATGATCTTTATTTTGATACCGAACTATAAAATTTCAAAAAGTTTATATCCTAAAGTGACACAATTGTTTAAGTAGATTAAGCTTCTAAATATTGATTCCTTAATCTGATATCAAAATTTGAAGGCGAGAAAGTTAAGAAAAATCAATACTTTGAATGTATATCAGCTTAATTAGTGATTTCTCAGCTAGTTTTAGGGCATAACAAACTAGTAGTGTAGCATCAAAGATGCCCTTATAAGTAAGAAACTAAAAACAAGGTTAAACATCTACATCTTTTTATATGAATAAAACACAAATAATATTAAAAATTAACATTTTTAAATGATTCTTTTGAATTTTTTTTTAAAGCTATGGAAAGCCTGTGGCACACAGGTTAAGAACCTCTGAGTTAAACTATAACTTGAGATAGGTCTGTATTTATTATATTAAATAAATCTTGGGCAAGTTTTTCTCCTTGATGTAAGTAAAATAAACTTGAATTTACAATTAAATTGCTAAAATACTAAATTTAAAATTACAATTTATGATGTATATACACTCCTATTCATCTGCTGAGCCATTCATTAAGCTGAATCCAGATGCTATTTAAACATGTAGAGTGTTATAAAAGTGCTATCAATTAATATATTTTAGTGTTTTTTAAATTATTATACTGTTTTCTAAAATTTCTTCTTATGGCAGCACCTTTTTCTTTTTTAAATAAGATCCTTCCTTGGCTTAAGAGATTACTCAGGACTCAAATGATAATTATACTTCAAATATTGTTATATATAACACTATACAAGGATATAATATATATAATTAAACAGAAAATATGCAAAAGGATAACCTGTAAATCTATAAAGTTTATGCAAATAGGCCTACATATAGAATTATACAGGATAAGTCTTCAGACATGTATGCTATAAATAACATAGAATAACAGCCTACAGATATGTTAACATATATACTCCATACCTGTACAGGGTCGGCTTAGATGTGGGTTCGGGCCTCAGACCTCTTTATTTTTTTTTGCAAATATTTTGGGGCCCCACTAATAACTTTCCCCGAGGCCCCCGCAAAACCTCCAGCCGGCCCCGTATCTATAGCCTGTAAGTCTATAGCGTATGGGGATAAACATAGGGTATACTTTAAAGGATTAACATCAGATGCCAATAAATTTATTAAAAACAATGATGCTTGCTTGAATGACTCATACAGTACTTCACTCAGTCCCATTCAATTCCAACGTTTAATTAAATTGTAGAAGCGTAATTTACGGGATTATCATCACAGTAAGTAATATGAGGGCAATTTAAGTAAATTTTTGCAAGCAAAAGACTCAAAGAATAATAATAATAAAACAATCAAAGCAACGTGGATCAGGTTATAAAATGGCCGCATTAGAGGAAGAAATAATAATAATAATATAAAAAATTATAAATTAGATCAACACGCGTCTTAATAACTAAAAACAAGGTGTCAAAATTAAGCAAATAGATCAAGATCGGCGATTAAAAAAAGATCTTTTGATGAACTTATCGATAAGAAATGCAATTAATGACAAACCAAGCCAGACGCGTGCAACCTGTCTAATGATAATAGATTAATAGCCTAAGGCCATTCTCGCAATGTATCACGGGATATTTATTAACTTCGCCTTAAAAATTTCAAAAAAGAAATCAATGTTGCCAACTCTTCAAATCTTTCCTCTTTTTAAATTTAGAAAAATCTAAATTTAGTAAGGAAAATTTTCTAGCTTTATTTAAATATTACATGTTTTTAATATATTATTTTAAAAATATAATAATAATAATAATAATAATAATAAACAAATATATTAATCGAATTCGAATCGGTAATATTATTAACTGTATTATCGGGATGGCAACTTTTGATATGATCGATTCTCTTTCTTTAAATTATGGCAAGGAGCATCTTGATGCCGAATATATTTTAAAATTATTTGAATTTTAGTTACAACGGATTATTAAATTTAAATTTCTATAACAAATTTAGGGGATTTTAGGTTTTTTTTTACACTTCCAACTAGGGGGAAAATTGTATCAGCTCTGGCAACTTAAGAATTTCCCCCTAAATTTAGTAGGAAATCTGCAAGATGGGTAAATTTAGGGAAGAAATAGTTTAGAGGGAAAATGTAATCTCCCCACATTGGTTAGTGAAGTTTTAGCGACGAGTAAGAAGTACCGGGAGCAGAACTATTTAGGGGAAAATTCAGGTGTTTCTAGGGGTTTTTCACGACAGAAGATTGGCAACTTGATGAATCACTCGTTTCCAGTTAAAATTACCGCGATAAAATTTCCAATTTCATTACCAAAAATTGCTTTAATTGCAAATTCGATTACGTGAAGAGTTTTATTTATTTTTTATTCTTCTTTCGCTCGTCTCCAATTTTCTTTCACCCACAACAATAGTGAGAAACCTTCTTTATACCGTAGAGTCATTCGACAATTGAGAGTCATCTACTTTAGTTGAACCAAGCGTGAGAATGCGACCTACTCAATTAGTCTAGCTTAAGCGGTGGAAGATCGTTCCCCAATTCTTCCTTAATTATAGAAGAAAACAAGGACAGATAAATCTCACTTCTATCATTAACTTCGTCGTTATACCGGGATTGATTTGTAACCGCCAGGCACTTTTACTGTTATTATATTTTAATAGTTTGTGAATGCTTCCGCTACTGTTACAGCAAGAAAAATAAGAAAAATAATGAACACATAATAATCTTTTTACTGATTTATTCGTAAATAACACATTACATAACTTTTACTGTCTGTCTGGTCCATTCTTTAAAACTTTCCCCAGATATGTTTATATATAGGCCCTATATATATATATATACACATTCATAGCTTTTCATTAGGAATGTACCTTCCTGTTTTTATGTTTTCTTTTTGGCTAAAAATTTCTTTAATAATAGTAATAGTAATAGTAATAATAATAATAATAATCTATTGTCCTCTATGATAACAGAGTGCAACAGCACCTGGTCCATACTTCTATTAATAACCTAAAACATCACTATATACATATTAATTTACACGTTTACGTAACTTGTGCTGTTGCTCTTTATAATTAAACTACGTACACAGAATAACAACTTCATTTTTTTTTTGTTTTTTTTTGTGTTTTTTTTTCAAGCGCTTTCTTCTTCCTCCATGCTGGCTTCTTTGATGAATAACAAAACATCGTGCTTCTGATTAACTTGGCTCAGGGCTTTGGAATCGAATTCGTCTAACCTTTTCCTCAAAACGTTAACGCTGTGTAACAGGGCATCCCTTTCATCTTCGAGACCTCTAACTCTGGACTGGAGTTTGTTGATTGTGCTTTGATACGAAGTTAATGTGGCCTCTAAATTGTGCACGGTCGTATTTGCTGCCTGTTTTGTTTTTTTTTTCGAAATTGGTAAATTGTTACAAGGTTACAAAACAAAATTAGAAGGGGGGAGGGGAGAAAATATAGCTTACCTGTAATTGTTCAATTAAGCTTTGATTTTCTTGCTTTAATTCGTTGTTGGTAATCTCCTGCCTGGATAATGATTCCGTGGATTTTGAGGTGTTGTGGAACATTTCTTCTTGGAGTACGTGATATTCCACTTCGTAAGACTGCAAAGATTTGGCTACGTCTAAACTAATAGCCTGTAAAGAATAGGAAAATTTAGCGTAATAACGGGGTAATTTTCGATAAATTCGAGATAGAATCAACGTTACTTCGTCCAAAATCCTCGACGTTTGTTCGTTATCTAAAGATGGCAGGACGTTTTTCAGGTAATCGACAATGGTCTCGAAAGTCGTCAGTCGTAGTAAATCGTCTCGAAAAGTTGTCAACAGCAATAAAGATACTTTGAAAACTGCCTCCATACCTTGTAAAAAGATAAGATCTGAAAGAACAATAAAAATTATCGCTACGGAAATTCAATCGGTTTGTAGGCAAATCCCGTTTCCAGATTGCACGGGGACAAAACATAAAAGGCGAACGTCCCCTATCAGTTGTATTGTTGCATCTATGAACAATGACTCACCGAATAGTCTGGATACAAATCCTAGATGGAATTGGGAGGAAAATAGAGTTAGGAACCACGGAGCGGCGTATAAAGCTGGAGAAACGTCGTGGCGTTCGAAATGAACGTGGATGTCGTATAAATTATCGAAAATCAAACGAGATAATTGATATAGCTGCACCTGATAATGATTTAAAAAAAAAACAAGAGGGTAGATTAAAAAAAAAGAGGCAATTTCTTAAAGGAAAAATAAACAAAAATGTCATTCACCTGAAGGGCTACCATGTTAGGTCTGTATTGATCGCGAAAACCGAGGCAGAACAGCATGTGTTTTATCATGTCAAAGGCTTGCAACTCCGACATCTAAAAAAAAAAAAAAAAAAAAGCAAAAGATTTTCTGTTAAAATTACAAAACAGGATTTACATGTTTATTTATTTATCTATTTATTTTCATTTTAATCAGACTGACTCACGTGTAGTAAAAGAACTCCAGCAACAAAACTGAGACCTTGACAATAACCGACTTCTGAGTCTAACAGGGAATAAGCCTTCAAAAGGTTAAAAAGCGATAACTGTCCAGCACCGAGTGTCTGTCTGTAATAGGGATGAGAAGGAAACGTCCTGCCTACAAAAAAAAGAAAGAAAAGTGGCACATTCACCTTATGAAAGAAAGGAAAAAAAAAAATTTAAAAACTTTATTTATGTTCAACCGGCAGACAGAGTCGTCATAAAAACATATTTTAGAAGTGATCATAAATGAAAAATTACTTTCAACTCAATTCGTCGCGGTCTTCTGTTCTGTAGCAGAAAACAGGTAAAGCACCCCCTGTCGGTCTTCTCTAGAACTACCGGAAAGGGGGTATGATGGGTTGGGTGTCCCAACCTCCTACATACCACTGTCACCTAACCATCAGGTGGAGGCGGAGGGCGACAAAAACACTCGGTGTCGTGACCAGGGGTCAGTGAAGAGGTTAGAGAGGTCATCACGCACGACCCACGATAAGGTTACGAGACGTTGGTCACCGACCTCGGGCCATTACTTTCTCACGGCCCCACGTCCACATGAGAACTTGCTTCGACCGGCAGTTAGCGCGATCGCGCGCGCGCGCGGCTTCACTGCGAAGACGAAACGAATTTCACATCAGAGTTTTTCAAAACGAAAGATAATTAATTATCCCCTAAACGAGTTGTGCCAATCAAACTCCGGCGACATTTAGCGAGTCTGGGGGACTTCCCCCGTCGCGATAACCTACCATAAGAGGTTAATAAGGGTCGTTACAGACGTCGGGGTGGCAGCGGCAAGGCGGTAAATCGGGGTGGAACCCTCTTGTGAAGCGCCTATGGTGAAATCGGGAGCCATACTCGGATAATTATTGCATTATCCGAGTTTTCGTTTCGAAATTAATTCGACCAACGTCCCGCGATGGGTATATGGCTTCTTTTAATGTCGGAACTGGCATTGTATCCTTGGCTGGAGAGTCACGGTGTGCACGACATCCGAGCACGAAGTCTCCCTTCTCTATTGTCCGTTGCGCAGGTGACAACATTATCCGCCTTACTTAATATCACCCGAATGGGGCAGATACTGCGCTCGGGAATGTGGATGGCATTCAACATCACCGAAAATTACCCTTTCAGATTCGAATTGCGACAGCGCCCCAGTTTGCGGCTCCGTGTAAATGCGAGCGGGATTAATAATGGCCATTCGAAAAACACGCGCGAGCGAAGATTCGTAGAGAATTGGCGCACCCTTCTTCCCCCCAACGCTTTGCTAATTGCGTTGTCTGGGTGATTACTTCATTTACGGAAGTCTAGTGGTAGGTGGAACCCACTTAAACGGCTTCCTGGCGAAGATTTCCGAACACCGATGCGAGAACGGATTAAGATTCTTTTAGGAGGACCATCCGAAAAGTCTGTTAAATAGCTGGGAGGTAACGATCTACGGGAGGCAAAGGCGACGTGACAACCTAATTCAATCACCGGAGAACAATTAGGTATAGTACCCGCCGGGGTAGATAATTAATAGTGGAGCAGCACGTGAATGGATTGTAGAGATGATGTGTGAGGCTCGCGGGCGAAACGTGGCCCTGGGGGGCGACGGGAGGAGTCGGACGTCACGATTCTTACACCCACAATGTCGGCAAAGTGTAAGGAGCAGCAACACTTTTAAAAAATTATATAGAATTTTTGGAATTCTCACGAATAAACACATACAAACACCGCGGGTTACCTCACGAATATTCGTACCTCTATTCAGTGGCGAGCGTGACGCCGGTTGTTAAAGAGACAGTAGAACAACGTGTATTAAAACCATTCTATTGTTGATGCCACAGAAACGTTGCCGTAACGTTAAAAGATTCGAACTTTTCCATCTCTAGGTTATCACAAATGACTCAATTATACATAATTAGATCCACTAGGCACCGATTATGTTACGGGCCTTCGAAGATTGGCCTTGTTTTTAATTAGCCAGACACTTTACTTCTGTGAGAGAGAGAGAGAGCTCAAACTCGGACCCCCAAAACGTCACACGACTCGACTCGCAAAATATCAAATTAGCATTTCCTGGAAGTTTAATTTTTTTTTTAGTCCCGTATCCGAGTTCCTCGAACCTTTATCTATTTCCAGACTAGAGATGTACGCATGAAATTCTTGATAAAGGTCACACCAGCTTATGAGATATTTTCCGAACGACAAGGGGAGTGGAAACGATACGAAAAGGGACAAAAATCGCAATTTAATAATCGCAATTTAATTTTTTGAAATTAACGCCGTTTCCCTTTTATCTTTTTCCACATCGGGAAACCTGTAGATGAGGCGGCCTCGACTCCACAAAAGAACACCGAATAAAGTCCACAGGTTCCTAAACCAACCGTGACTAATTATGACAATTAGGGGGCGGGAGAGGGGCACATTCGATCACGTGGTCACGTGCCAACACGCGCCCAGTGTAGGCGTACAAACCCAATGACGGCCGGATGGAACGGAATACGTCAGTAGCGTGTTAAAAAAGGAGGGCGGCGTGTGTGGTTCGGTTCCCTCTTTTCTTTTTTATCCTTTCTTTTAGGAACTCTCCTCGTGAATCGCGTCTAAGTCTAGTTCTAAAGTTCCGCTTAGAAAATACACTGTACACACACACACACATATACACAAACAGGGATAAAAACCAACCACTCGTACTCCTAAAAGCTGATGTAGTGTGCTCTTTGGGCGGTCCTTGACCTCTAACCTCCACCCCACCCTACAGAATGGTGACTTGTTAGGGTGCGGCTGAAGAACACACTCCGGATTCCTGTTTCCGGCTCAGAAATGGTTTTTAAAAAACAATAAAATAACTCCATTAAACTATATTGTAGTCATCCCCGTTGTAGAATTATAAAGGTTAAAAAAAAAAAAAGAGGTAACCAGCGCCATTATGCATCCACAAGCGTCGCGTCGCGATGCCGCGTGGGTGTCGCGCGTAATTATAGTTCCTATCGCGCGCGCGTTATTATAATACTTTCGTGATCGAACCCGAACAGACAGACGTTAATGCGAAGAAGGACCCTATTTTTTTTTTTTTTTTTAGATAATATGCCGTAAATTGTCTCCCTTTTCAGCATTCAAGACGAATTACATTACTAGAACTTCAGTTCCCCCTCCCCACGGGTCCTCTGTTAATAAATTTTCTTTAATGTGTTCCTGTCATTCTTCATTCCGTCCTTATAACTACCCGACTACAAGATAATAGTAATTTATAAATTAAGTACAAAACCAAAATACTTTAATCACAACTTTTGCTAACAATCACCTATCATCAACCCAGCAACTTGGGTGTGGATAGTAAACACGTAGTCTCACAGATGCGATCACCATTCTCTGCTTTGAATAACAAAAATGCCTAAATTTCATCCGAATATCACATTCTGCTCCAATTAAACACGTGGTTAAAATAACTTTTAAATCCCCTCTGGCTGTTCCTAAATTACTTTTATGACTTTAAAAAAGAATTATAGTTTATAAAAGGGGTCAGAAAAAGTGCGATATACCTGTATATACAGTATATATATATATTTAAAAAAAAAAAAAGGGAAATTTTCCGAAAATTTCTCTAACAGGAGGGTGGATTTCGAATAACGTGATACTTAAAAGTGATAAAAATCTTTCGATATTTTACGTATAGAAGGGTGTGAATGTATGCAAAACTAGGCTAAATATAGTCGAAAGTATTTGATTCTTTTCAAAAAATAATAATGAAAAATAATGTCCATAACTTAGTAATTATTATTATTAGAATGTCTGATTAATATAGTAAAATGGGCAAGTTTATAAAATACCATAATTTAATTTTAGGTAATGTTTTAAAGCTTTCGAAAAACTACATTCTTTTAAACTTGATTCCTAAAGAGCTGCATCATGAAAATTAAGCATGGTTTTAGTCTGTTCAGCAGTTACTAATTAATTAATTTAATTACTAGTAACTGTTTATCAGTTAATAAAAATATTATTATAGTAAAATTTAACGATTATTTATAGATATAAGTGTATAAATAGTCACTCCAAAATTTTGTTTTTATGAATTATAATATTAATTAATTAATAATTCTGTCAAAACAATGAAATTTTATGTATATATCTAATTAAAATATTTATTATTAATTCAAGTTTTTAAAGAAAAAATATCAATTTAATAAAAAATAGCTTATATATATATATATTAAAGTAAGTTTTTAATTTTTCTAATTCATTAAATTTTTTAAAAAATTTTAATTTAAAGATTTAAATATTTATATTTCAATAGAGTAACCGAGCAGGGATTCAGGACCCAGGGCTCCCATTACCTATGTAAATAAATAAATAAAGAAAATAATAAATAAAATAAGTACAGGAAGAAGATTTGAATGTAACAAATGAACTTGTATGTATATATATACAACATCTTAGAGTTTACTCTTCATCCACAACATAGGTTTTCACATTCTATTTTACGCCCCCCTTAAAATCAGCTCTAGTTATGACAATGTCTGTATTTATTACTGATATATATTTATAAAAAAATTAATATATAATGTGATAGTTATTTAATGATGTTATATGTACATAAAACATCATTAAATAACTATTACATTATTTAAAAAAATTAATTATTATACCAGAAAAAAAAAAACAATAAAACAATATATACTTTATTATTTTTATTTTATTAATTTATTTTTTATAGATGTGAAACAGGTGGACAACAAAATTTAAATTAAGTTAAAAAATGTTACAAAATGAGGGTTTTTATAAATAAATTTATAAATTTTTTTTGTTATAATTGTATTGTTAAAACGGGGAAAAAACTTTATGTTCTTCCTCATTGTGCCTTGTATTTATATAATAAATAAATTTACAATTACTCAAGTGTTATTTTAAGAATTAATTCCTGAACATTTCATACTACTATACCTAGCGCCATCTCTTATTGGACATTACAAACATTAACCACTTAAAAATAAAATAAAATATAAACTATAATATATTATAAAATAAAATTAAACTGTGAAATGTAATTTTATTTATATAAATATACTACATAATAGTGTGTTAATGTTCAATACACTGTAAATTTAAGCAGTGGTAGAGGTCAATGAGAGGAGCATTTTTTTTTTTTTTGTAATAAAGAAGCAGAATGTTGGAAAAAATTGTCAGAGCTATGGACAGCAGGAGGTTCATATATGCTCGTGTGGTAGATGACCGTTATACATCTCTTTGTTTACCTTACTGCCTATATATTTTGGGATAATGAGAAATAAGTACATAGAGTATGGTAAATGAAACTTTACTAATATTTTTCTGTGTAATTACAATGAATGTTTGAAGTGATAACCATCAACTTTGTTACACACTCTCAACTTTATCCTACTCTCTTCAAGAGTGCCCCGTTGTCCTCTGATAGCATCACAAGCCAAAATGATACAAATAAACATTTCTTCCTTTGTTTCTACTGGTGTTTTACATGCCATACTCTTTATGTAACCTCAGAGGAAGAAGTTGGGAGGTGGCGCGTCCGAGATTTCTACAGGCCGTAGTTCAGCCAATTTTTCTTTCCGACCCTAGGTTAAACGTGTTTGTTTCGTCCACCTTTACCGCCCCTTAAATTTACGGCGTATCGAGCATTAACACCCTGCACTAAAAAAGCATATTATGTAAATGATGAATAAAAATTACCTAAATCAATGAGAATGGCATGTTGATGAGGCGTTAACTGTTTTAATAAATCGGAGTACTTTAATTCCAAATTAATATCGTCGTTCTTGAAAACTAGATTTGGGTTTCTTAACTTGTATTGGTCTGCTAAAAACAACCAAATGTCACCTCTCTTCTGGTGAGGAATGCCTGATGATGCAAAGGAAGGAAAAGAATTAAGATGACGTGAGATATATAAAAGTTTAACATAGAACCTCTTAAATTTACACAGTTTAAAATTATAATAAAAGACTTACCCAACTGAACAGTTTCTTCTAACGTTTTACAATCAACCGGTCCATTGGCGGGATCGAATTTTTGAATTATGTCGTCCCAGATATCGGCCGCTTCTTTGACGCACGGAACTAATTCCTCATAATGTAATTTAATTCTTCTTTCCATTGCACAATTCTGAATAACTGAAATATTTACAAATTATAAAAAAATTGTTATAATTCTCAAATTATTAGAGTTTAAATTTGTTTACTCTGTTTCGATACTGGTAAAAAATGCATCTTATACATTTATTACATAATTAATAATTACTTCAGTTTGAATTTAAATGAAAATTATTATAAAGGTTAGCTAAATTTATTAGTTTTTTGATTTAAAACTAGAAAAAAATTGGAGTATTTTTTTAATAATTTAAAATGTAAAATAATAATATAAATTTTCTAACATTAAATATGTATATTTGATTAAAAACTAATAATTTTTCAAGTAACAGTAAGTAAAACTAATGGACTTGAATGTCATGAAAATTATATGTTAAATTACTGTCAACCAATTTTATTTGGTCCATGAAATTTAAAGAAATGTTTACTTTTTAGCTTTTTATTTTCATTTTCCATTCTTATAAGTAATATCTGTTCCAAAATAGCTTTTCTCCAGAGTGCTCTTAAAGCCGCTTGAGATCTTCTTACCGGCGGACTAACCTCTCTATTTTTTCCTTTGGGACTTTGTAATTTATTTCCTGAAAATATATTTTATAATGAAAAACAATTTTCTGTTACAGCAATAGTTATTTTTCTTAATAAAATAACAACATACCATACACAACTTGATCTTGTTGAATGGGAGTTTGGACTCTTTGAAAGATCGCTTGCCTCCAAGACCCCTTTTTCATGTAAGACTTCTGTTTGATTTGAATGGGAACGGCTAATTTACTCTGACTTCCGACCTTCATAAATCTAAGAAATTTTATTACAAAATTTTAATAATCTTTTTAACGTAATTTCGTTTAGAGTTTAATTATCGTTAAACGAACATGTGTCTTAAAGGACTCATTGGAATATGTGTGGGCTTCTTATCTAAATCTTCTGCCTCTTTTTGATCGCTTTTTCTTTTTTCTCTCTGTTTATCCTTTTTAATTTCGTCATTTGTCTTCAGTGAATGATCATCTACATTTGTCTTATCGTCACTCGGAGAAAGAAACTTNTTCTCGGGTTATTCACCCACATACCAAAGCCAAGGGTAAAACGAGAACATTCCAGGAAGGGTAGACAAATAGGACAGAAAGAGGGAAAGCAGAGAAGATACAAGATAAAATAACACAATTATATACAAAACATACAATTTAAATATGGTGTGTAGCCTTAATGCATTCTATACTACTTTGTGTTTGTGGATGTTGGGACTGCCATGAACAGTTTTACATTTTGTTGGGTCACAATAGTTTTCTTAGTAAATTATGTTTAGTTTTGCAAGTGGGACACAAATCAACAAATATTTCAACTGATTTGTTGTACATAAAATCTGTTTTTAATATTGTATAGCATTTTGTCATGGACACCATGTCCACAGAATTTATGAATTTCCATCAATGCATCAAAACACTGTTCAGTAGGAGGTATAATGGGTACCGCAGGATCCTCAGGTAACTTTCTCTCAAAAATGAGATAATCCTCATCTGTTGTATTTATGACAATATACTTTAAACACCAATAATATTCAATAGATATCTGTTACACAGAGTCTATGGACATCTTACCATTTTTGATGTCTAATAATTTCAAAATTCTTTATCTAATTCATGGTTTCATCAAATTTCCATGCTGTTTTGTATTGAACTGCATTAGATGTTTGTTGAAATTATCTTTAGACCCACTATATTCACACATATTTCCACACTTACATTATTTGTAATATTCAATATTTCTAGTGGAACAGGACATGCTAAGCAATGACACATTAGTGAATGTCTCCTGAAACCACAAATGGTGTGATTTGGAAGTAAGTGTGACAATCTGGTGGATAATTAATCTAATGACACATTGTAAAGTAGCTAATTATTTCGCCAGCTGTATTATAGAATGTGAAATGTCATTCAATCCAATTGAAGTTGGTTTAGCCTCTTTGTAAAAGGGCTAATGTTTGCTAGCTTTATTATAAAACAGCACCATTTAATCAAATGGCTAGATGCTTTGTAAAGCAGCTAAATTAACAATCCAACCATGACATATAAACAATATCTAAGAGTTTACTCTTGATCTACAGTACTAGTGATACACCCACAGTGTACTTTTGTATGTTTCAATTCAAGTCCTCTAATATTGGTTCTAGTTATGCTACTGTCGCTTTATCAATATGAAGCAATAAAAAATGTTGATGAAAAGATGTATTATTTGTTTTTGAAAGTAAATTAATATTTTTCCTGTTAATAATATTATAATAATATCACATTTTCAGATGGGTTTCGGCATGCTGGTCTCTCCTGGTTATATGCGGCATGCCAGTCAACCCATGAAAATATGGTATTTATAATAAATGTTAATAAAATGTCGGCTTTCTGAAATTACTAGAGGTTTATTTATTTATTTTAACCCTAATATTTTACAATTTGCATTATTTTAAAATTAATATTTAAGAATTTAAACTTTTAAAATAAAATATACACATTATTTTCTTTATTAAAACATACCTTCAGTAATAATTCTAATGGACCTGGTAATTGTCTTTTGGTCTTAAACTGTCCAATAGAGAAAGGCATTAATCTTTTATCTGGCTAAAAAAATTAGAAATTAAATAATGAATAAACTTTTATTTATTAAAACATATCAAACATAAAATTAACAAGAAATTAAAATTTTAAATTTAAAATACTTCTTGTTTGGTCCCTTGGTTAGGAATGTGCGTATGATTCCTTTGTTTTTCCTCACACAATCTTCTCAGCAGCATCATAAATACTTCATTCTGTTGCTGTAAACTTTTAATTTCTTCTCCCTAAATGTTATACACATAGTAGTTATTATTTTTAATGTGTAAAATCTAAGAATAAACTGAATTTCATTGAGTATGCATATATATATAAAAACAACAATTCTAAAAACCATTTTTGATTAAAGCCAGCTGATGTGCTGAATTATTGGGCTATTATAATAAGGCCAAGAAATTTAATTTAAAATTAGTTTATTAAAATTATCATGAAATGGCAGCTTAACAGCTTACCTCTAGACAAATTACTTTGTATCTAATTATTAGTTTAGCCTTATTATAGCCAGCAGCATAACTAAGAGGGAGCGAGAGGGCGTAGACCTTGCGGCAGACTCCAAAATGAGTCATGGGGCTCATTTTGGCACCTCTGAGATTAGTGTTAAAAGTCTATAGAATTTTTTAGTAATTAACATTGAAACAGGGATGCCAGATATGAATTTTGTCTCGGCTACCAAAACTGTTTGGAATTGGAATATAGCCTGAAATTTGGCAGATTATCTGGCTTTAATGAGGTGTTTTTTTATTGTTAATGTGAGAGTGGCTTATTTTGATTGTTGGGCATTGCCATGTATCTTTTCTATAATGAAAAAAAAAAAAAAAAANAAAATAAAATATAAACTATAATATATTATAAAATAAAATTAAACTGTGAAATGTAATTTTATTTATATAAATATACTACATAATAGTGTGTTAATGTTCAATACACTGTAAATTTAAGCAGTGGTAGAGGTCAATGAGAGGAGCATTTTTTTTTTTTTTGTAATAAAGAAGCAGAATGTTGGAAAAAATTGTCAGAGCTATGGACAGCAGGAGGTTCATATATGCTCGTGTGGTAGATGACCGTTATACATCTCTTTGTTTACCTTACTGCCTATATATTTTGGGATAATGAGAAATAAGTACATAGAGTATGGTAAATGAAACTTTACTAATATTTTTCTGTGTAATTACAATGAATGTTTGAAGTGATAACCATCAACTTTGTTACACACTCTCAACTTTATCCTACTCTCTTCAAGAGTGCCCCGTTGTCCTCTGATAGCATCACAAGCCAAAATGATACAAATAAACATTTCTTCCTTTGTTTCTACTGGTGTTTTACATGCCATACTCTTTATGTAACCTCAGAGGAAGAAGTTGGGAGGTGGCGCGTCCGAGATTTCTACAGGCCGTAGTTCAGCCAATTTTTCTTTCCGACCCTAGGTTAAACGTGTTTGTTTCGTCCACCTTTACCGCCCCTTAAATTTACGGCGTATCAAGCATTAACACCCTGCACTAAAAAAGCATATTATGTAAATGATGAATAAAAATTACCTAAATCAATGAGAATGGCATGTTGATGAGGCGTTAACTGTTTTAATAAATCGGAGTACTTTAATTCCAAATTAATATCGTCGTTCTTGAAAACTAGATTTGGGTTTCTTAACTTGTATTGGTCTGCTAAAAACAACCAAATGTCACCTCTCTTCTGGTGAGGAATGCCTGATGATGCAAAGGAAGGAAAAGAATTAAGATGACGTGAGATATATAAAAGTTTAACATAGAACCTCTTAAATTTACACAGTTTAAAATTATAATAAAAGACTTACCCAACTGAACAGTTTCTTCTAACGTTTTACAATCAACCGGTCCATTGGCGGGATCGAATTTTTGAATTATGTCGTCCCAGATATCGGCCGCTTCTTTGATGCACGGAACTAATTCCTCATAATGTAATTTAATTCTTCTTTCCATTGCACAATTCTGAATAACTGAAATATTTACAAATTATAAAAAAATTGTTATAATTCTCAAATTATTAGAGTTTAAATTTGTTTACTCTGTTTCGATATTGGTAAAAAATGCATCTTATACATTTATTACATAATTAATAATTACTTCAGTTTGAATTTAAATGAAAATTATTATAAAGGTTAGCTAAATTTATTAGTTTTTTGATTTAAAACTAGAAAAAAATTGGAGTATTTTTTTAATAATTTAAAATGTAAAATAATAATATAAATTTTCTAACATTAAATATGTATATTTGATTAAAAACTAATAATTTTTCAAGTAACAGTAAGTAAAACTAATGGACTTGAATGTCATGAAAATTATATGTTAAATTACTGTCAACCAATTTTATTTGGTCCATGAAATTTAAAGAAATGTTTACTTTTTAGCTTTTTATTTTCATTTTCCATTCTTATAAGTAATATCTGTTCCAAAATAGCTTTTCTCCAGAGTGCTCTTAAAGCCGCTTGAGATCTTCTTACCGGCGGACTAACCTCTCTATTTTTTCCTTTGGGACTTTGTAATTTATTTCCTGAAAATATATTTTATAATGAAAAACAATTTTCTGTTACAGCAATAGTTATTTTTCTTAATAAAATAACAACATACCATACACAACTTGATCTTGTTGAATGGGAGTTTGGACTCTTTGAAAGATCGCTTGCCTCCAAGACCCCTTTTTCATGTAAGACTTCTGTTTGATTTGAATGGGAACGGCTAATTTACTCTGACTTCCGACCTTCATAAATCTAAGAAATTTTATTACAAAATTTTAATAATCTTTTTAACGTAATTTCGTTTAGAGTTTAATTATCGTTAAACGAACATGTGTCTTAAAGGACTCATTGGAATATGTGTGGGCTTCTTATCTAAATCTTCTGCCTCTTTTTGATCGCTTTTTCTTTTTTCTCTCTGTTTATCCTTTTTAATTTCGTCATTTGTCTTCAGTGAATGATCATCTACATTTGTCTTATCGTCACTCGGAGAAAGAAACTTCGTGGGATTAGTGGGGGTCACGGGAGCCGATGACGAACTAGTAATTTTTTTCTTAGCATCTGCCGGAGGGAGCTTAAGAAAAAAAATTTTGTAATCATTCAAATTATACAGTTTATAAATCAATCATCATAAAATCATTTATCATACAAAAAATGAAAAATTCACTACATCAGTGATTCTGTGCTTATCTGATTTGAAATTTGGATCATTTTCAGTAAAATTTAATCTTAGAAAAATGTTTTAGAGTTGCATTCTAAGTGGGTTATAAGCTTTCTCTTGTAAAAAGTCAAGATTTAATTTTAACAAAAAATACAGTATCAAAAGCATTTTTAATACTATAGTTATTTGCCAGACAAGAACTGTCAATAAAACTCTGTTCTCTCTACATCTTAATCCAAATAAAAATATAATTATAATTTTTTAAAACCCTTTCTGTCTGTGAGCACTAAGGTAGCTTTTTTCATGCTTGCTGTGGGTTTGATTGGACTCACAATAAAGATACGACAGAATCCAACATATCTAGGTCAAACTAGCCATAGAAGATTTCCTGATGACCTGACCTAGACTTAAAAATAAGCCTCTCAGATCCGAAGGTTGATGCCTTTAATGCTTTGGACATTGGCTGTCACAATGCTTTGTTTACAGATGATTACTGATTTCAACTATTATTAAATTAAATAATACAATTAAATTACTATATTTTAAACAATCCAGGACATTGCTTTTTTTCCTGAGCATCCTTTGTTCAAGTATATCATCACCAGTTTAAGGAATAGCAACTTATATTTATTATGACTGTGTCTTAGATGAGTAATGCAATTAAGTCAAGAATTATTGTCAAAACTGTACAGATAAGTGAACTAATTTTGGCAGGCATATTTGGTATTTAAAAAAAAATAATTTGATAATGTGCTAGCATAGATTTTTACTTAGATTCTGCAAATTTAAATGAATGTTATCATGGCGACAATATTCCAAATGTTAATAAAATGAAGCAGCTTAATGAAGAGTGAAGAATAATTGTGTTGGCAAATTTTACAAACGACAGAAAGAAAGGGAGAGAAGCTTCACAGTTAAGCATGTTTTGGACATGGAGATGGCAAGAAAGACAGTTTAGAACATTATAGAGAACCTGGGAAGTGACAACACTATTAGATGTCTATATGTTCGTGGAATAGACAAAAGAAATTAAAATGACAGATAGCAAATGGGTCATTGGAAAAAGAGGCAGTCAGAAAAGTTGGATAGTCACTAAGAAAATTTGGAAAAAAGTTCAAAATATCTCATCAGTATGTTAAAAACATACTAGTCAAGCAAACTGTTGTCCTTTGGAAGTGAAAGTCAGCCCCAAAATAAAGATAATAACAACTCAAATTGCAATGGACTGCTGCAAAAAGTGTGATTTTGCCTTTAAAGGTAGTGACTGTGCAGGGAACAACACATACTATTGTAAGGATGGTTTGGGTAGCAATCAGTCAAAAAGGAAAAGCCTTTAAGCATTCATGGCATCTTCTTGCATCTGCATCAACAAAGAAGTGTACATAGAGAAGTGTATTAAGATGAGGCTGATCTCATTCCTCGAGTAACATCTCTCAGATGGCTTGTACGTCTTCTGGCTGAATCTTTAGCTGTGCATTATGCAACAGATACAATTTCTGTGCTATCAGAAAGCAAAACAACTTTACTTTGAGCCATAGTTTGAAATTATATTGTACACCTTTCTCCCAAACCCACCCTTGCTTCAAAGGAAAGAATTTTTATCCCCCAATAAAGCCTTTAGCCTTTGATTGAGTAAAAGAATCATATGTGTCTTTTTGTTTTGTGCCATCGTAATTCCACTACTGTCTCTGATAATGAGTCAAAAAGATAAAAGTACTTGAGATTTATTGTAATATACTCGTATGGTACCAATTCTGTCCTTCAACTCATTGAGGAAGGCAGGTGATGTCTGGAAGATGTGTTGCTTCACATGGCTCCACTGGAAGAAATCCAGGGGGTTAGACCAGACAAGCATAGAGGCCATGATGACAGGCAACTGCAACCAATCCAATGTCCTGGAAACATTGCATTAAATCTCTCTCATGAATAGTGTTGCCACCTTTTCAAAATCGCTGACCCGAATGGCACGTCAGATTTGTTCGAACAGAAGTTCCTGACGCATGCACAATGTCATTTTACAATGCGAAGAATGTGCTAGATAACTTAGCCCGTAGACGTGTACGATCGTACATGCAAAAAGAAAAAAAAAAGGGTCGACAGGTTGCGCGCACATGTAAATAGACGAACATGGCATGGCAGAATTGCAGATAGTTTCAGTGAGTTCTTTTGCTGTTAAAATAGTGTAAATTTGTAAAAATATTTGTAAGAACTTTGTTTCATAGTAATTTCAGAATTTCTACGGACAAACTTAATATTTCACCCGAACAGCGAGTGTCTAAATTAATAATCAAGACTAACTAGAATGGCATTTAGATCTGCAAAGAATTTTCTTTTTAAAACATGTGCATCTATTAGTGTAAAATCTGACTTTTTGGAGGTTTACAAGCACTTTTGAAGTCCTTGACCACCAAATAATGACTGGTTGATCACAGCTTCTCACAGACATATTGATCTTTCTGATATTTCATCATTATAATCGCTTGACGACTCTTGTAATTTGTAACGACAGAACCAATTTTTAATTATTCTGGATTTAGTCCCTACCTTATAAATGTCATTTCTAAAATAAACTATTTTTTCCATAATATTTTTGATCTAATGGAACACTATATTTTTGGTACATTAAGAAAAAATACTTTTTCCAATATTTAATAGGGGAAGCTTCTTAGCAGTGTTGTCAACCATTTTCTCTGCAGCACGTTAAACTCCTTTATGCGCTTCTTCTCTTTCAATTTGCATATCATGCTTGCCTTCAGATATTCGACAAATAGCTTGAACAGGATTAAAGCAAGAACTACGCTGATGAGTTCCACTGATTTCATTTTGACATATTGGGAAGACTAGGTCAGGTGATAAATTTTCATTATTTTCTGTAGATACTGTGTTAGAAAACATAATGAATTTTTTTATATTGCACAAAATAGCACCCAAATTGACCATTTTGTCAAATTACCGTTGCACATCCAGGTTCCACGAAATTTGGCTTTGTTGATCCCTTCACTGAAATTCTGGCCCTTGCGGATGAGATGCTGAAGTCGATGGTGGTACTTTGGAGTGATTTCGGCTCCTGTTAATGTAGCAGACCTTTCTCTTGCCTCGAGATTTAGTGAGATAGAATCAAGCTTCATCAGTTGTGATAAACTTTTGCCACTTACTTTTATTCAGCACAAGGTAGAATGGTCAAGACCTGCAGTATCTCTCCTGGATGGATGCAATGGAAAGCTCGTGGCATGCAGGTTTCTTGATAAGTTTAAGGCCCATTTTCTTCAGACTATAATTGGTTACTTATTGATTAACACCAAACCTTCATCCTATTTCTGATTGTGGTGGTGGGTTTTCTATACTGGGCATAGTGTTTAGTCCTTATAATATTGCCTTTAGTAGTATACATTTTGGACCACCACTACTTAGCTTCGATCCTTTTCTGGATGCTCTCTGCTTCCCGTTTTTAATGTTTGAAGTCTGTCCAATGGAAATATATTGTCCTATCATCCTTTTGAATTTGTCTGAACGACCACCCAAGTACTAAAAGAGTCCTAATTATTTCAACTGTTTCATCACTTATTTTTTTATTCACCATTTTGTCCTAGACAACTGTTCTGGACACATGCACTTACTAGACTTTTTACTATTCAAATGTCACCCACATCATTATGCAAATTGCTTTCATTACTCTACAACATTTATTTAAAAGTATTCACTTTGATTTTTTGTAGACCTTATGAGACCAGCGAGTAAGACAAAGAGACACAATCGAAAATAGATAAAATAAAATACAATAATTTTATTAAGTCGCTCATTATGATACAGGTTTCTAAGGATACCAACAATGCTACACCCACCGAATAATCCACATCATTAATTATTTGACCACTGCACAATATCGTCTCCTGAAAAAGAATGCGCAAGCGTAGTCCTTTGTCCGACCCGATTAATCAATTACTTAAGATTATATTAATTAAAACTAGATTCCTATTACTACTTACAACTATTGAATAGAGAAGGCTTATTAGAAAATTTAGAGAATGAAAGTAAGGGATAGGAAAGAGGGTACCCAAAACTTGATGATGTATGCTGCTTGTATGGGATCGTGGATGACATCTCTCGATGGGTTGGTGACTAATTAGCTCTCTTTTTGTCGCTCTCTAAGATATTAGTCCGAAGGGTCGATGCGTCCTGTTCCTCACAATTAATTCCCTTTTCTTTCTCTGTTCCAAAGTTCTCGTCTCTACCATATGGTGCTAAATGTACTGGAGAGACTTCCTCTCGTTCTCTCTCCTTTGGGTTCCGCCTTCGGAATGACCACGTGTTCGCCCCCTCCCCTCAGGGCTGCATTCCACTCATTGTTTCTCGGGTTATTCACCCACATACCAAAGCCAAGGGTAAAACGAGAACATTCCAGGAAGGGTAGACAAATAGGACAGAAAGAGGGAAAGCAGAGAAGATACAAGATAAAATAACACAATTATATACAAAACATACAATTTAAATATGGTGTGTAGCCTTAATGCATTCTATACTACTTTGTGTTTGTGGATGTTGGGACTGCCATGAACAGTTTTACATTTTGTTGGGTCACAATAGTTTTCTTAGTAAATTATGTTTAGTTTTGCAAGTGGGACACAAATCAACAAATATTTCAACTGATTTGTTGTACATAAAATCTGTTTTTAATATTGTATAGCATTTTGTCATGGACACCATGTCCACAGAATTTATGAATTTCCATCAATGCATCAAAACACTGTTCAGTAGGAGGTATAATGGGTACCGCAGGATCCTCAGGTAACTTTCTCTCAAAAATGAGATAATCCTCATCTGTTGTATTTATGACAATATACTTTAAACACCAATAATATTCAATAGATATCTGTTACACAGAGTCTATGGACATCTTACCATTTTTGATGTCTAATAATTTCAAAATTCTTTATCTAATTCATGGTTTCATCAAATTTCCATGCTGTTTTGTATTGAACTGCATTAGATGTTTGTTGAAATTATCTTTAGACCCACTATATTCACACATATTTCCACACTTACATTATTTGTAATATTCAATATTTCTAGTGGAACAGGACATGCTAAGCAATGACACATTAGTGAATGTCTCCTGAAACCACAAATGGTGCGATTTGGAAGTAAGTGTGACAATCTGGTGGATAATTAATCTAATGACACATTGTAAAGTAGCTAATTATTTCGCCAGCTGTATTATAGAATGTGAAATGTCATTCAATCCAATTGAAGTTGGTTTAGCCTCTTTGTAAAAGGGCTAATGTTTGCTAGCTTTATTATAAAACAGCACCATTTAATCAAATGGCTAGATGCTTTGTAAAGCAGCTAAATTAACAATCCAACCATGACATATAAACAATATCTAAGAGTTTACTCTTGATCTACAGTACTAGTGATACACCCACAGTGTACTTTTGTATGTTTCAATTCAAGTCCTCTAATATTGGTTCTAGTTATGCTACTGTCGCTTTATCAATATGAAGCAATAAAAAATGTTGATGAAAAGATGTATTATTTGTTTTTGAAAGTAAATTAATATTTTTCCTGCAGATGGGTTTCGGCATGCTGGTCTCTCCTGGTTATATGCGGCATGCCAGTCAACCCATGAAAATATGGTATTTATAATAAATGTTAATAAAATGTCGGCTTTCTGAAATTACTAGAGGTTTATTTATTTATTTTAACCCTAATATTTTACAATTTGCATTATTTTAAAATTAATATTTAAGAATTTAAACTTTTAAAATAAAATATACACATTATTTTCTTTATTAAAACATACCTTCAGTAATAATTCTAATGGACCTGGTAATTGTCTTTTGGTCTTAAACTGTCCAATAGAGAAAGGCATTAATCTTTTATCTGGCTAAAAAAATTAGAAATTAAATAATGAATAAACTTTTATTTATTAAAACATATCAAACATAAAATTAACAAGAAATTAAAATTTTAAATTTAAAATACTTCTTGTTTGGTCCCTTGGTTAGGAATGTGCGTATGATTCCTTTGTTTTTCCTCACACAATCTTCTCAGCAGCATCATAAATACTTCATTCTGTTGCTGTAAACTTTTAATTTCTTCTCCCTAAATGTTATACACATAGTAGTTATTATTTTTAATGTGTAAAATCTAAGAATAAACTGAATTTCATTGAGTATGCATATATATATAAAAACAACAATTCTAAAAACCATTTTTGATTAAAGCCAGCTGATGTGCTGAATTATTGGGCTATTATAATAAGGCCAAGAAATTTAATTTAAAATTAGTTTATTAAAATTATCATGAAATGGCAGCTTAACAGCTTACCTCTAGACAAATTACTTTGTATCTAATTATTAGTTTAGCCTTATTATAGCCAGCAGCATAACTAAGAGGGAGCGAGAGGGCGTAGACCTTGCGGCAGACTCCAAAATGAGTCATGGGGCTCATTTTGGCACCTCTGAGATTAGTGTTAAAAGTCTATAGAATTTTTTAGTAATTAACATTGAAACAGGGATGCCAGATATGAATTTTGTCTCGGCTACCAAAACTGTTTGGAATTGGAATATAGCCTGAAATTTGGCAGATTATCTGGCTTTAATGAGGTGTTTTTTTATTGTTAATGTGAGAGTGGCTTATTTTGATTGTTGGGCATTGCCATGTATCTTTTCTATAATGAAAAAAAAAAAAAAAAAACAATCTGCAAAGATAAACAGAAAGCAAGATCTTTTATTTGAGGTTTGGTTTTTAGGTTTAGTTAAGTTACAGCAATGCAACACTTGGATGATCTGCCTAGGGGGGAATGCCTTCTGGGAGGTCTTTTTAAGGGTGACTGGACCCCATTCAGGCATTACAGACGTGGAGAAAACCCGGAAGACTGCACGTGGCCAGCCTGTCCAGGTGAGGTGCGAACCCACAATCAAACACACGATGTTCAGGGAATGGAACTGCTTGGCCACTGATGGGCCCTTTTATTTGAGAAACATTTTTGAATTTTCACTGCTAATCTTCTTTTCATTGAATTAGGGTATTATATAATTTGAATGAGATGAAAATGATACACAGATATTTAAATAATTTTTCAAATAAAAGATCTAATTCTTACATGTCTGCTTACATTGTTTATTTAAAAAAATAATAATAAATGCTTTCTTAAAGAAAATTATTTAAGAACTAATTTTTAAACATCTTTTCTTATATTTTACCTGATATTTATTTATAATATCTTCCTGATCAATTTCAGAAAGAGAAGCAATTCTATGAATAATAGCTACTTGAGCTTTATCTGTTGTAAGACCTGAAAAACAGATACCATTATTATTTTTAAAATAATTATTTTAAGAGTAAATAAATTTATTAAAAAAATTAATTTTCTGATAAAAACCCATAAAATTCTGTTAATTAAGAGAAAAAACTCATACATTTTAAAAGAATATTAGCTTTAATATATAAAGAAGATGACGACGACGACGACAATGAAACAAATTGAGACTGAATGACGTTGGTACTTCTATAAAGGACCTTCTGGTGATAAAGGAAGTTATTGGAAAAAATAATGAGGTGTTATTTATGATATTGGTGCTGAAAGATCCTTGATACAGAACTGTTAAGTAGGTTAAATTTTCAGTTTCATAATCATCACTCCTTTGTGAAAAATGGGAATCAATGGTCATATTTCCATCTCCAAATGGGCCCTTTAAATCCAGATTGTTAGGGACCAAGTGACTATTAATTTGTTACTTTGACATTGGAGCTTCCTCATGGTCTTGTTATGATAATATATAAGGAGTGGATTTCTTCAATAAATTTCCATCTGTCCTCAGTGACATAAGAGTAGTCTTTGAACACTGTAATAACCCTAGAAAAGTCATTGATACAGCATAAATTGCACTAATATGAATACCAATAAAGCATTCCTCAAAATGATTAATCTATCAGGTGTCAATGATTCCAATCATGAAAGAACCAGTAACCTAATAAAGGAAAATATTAAAATATTTGCTTCAAGCGTGGAGGAGCTCACTGGCACTTTTAAGTTGTACGAAAGTCAATTATTGATATGAATAGAGTAATAAACTTAAGACAGTACTATATTGAATCCCAAATTACCATTCAAGTAAGTTGAGAAAATAAATAGAGGCTTTCTTAAAGGCTAGTATTTGTGAGGAATGTTCCTCAGAATGGATCTCTCCCATCCATGTAGTACTAAATCAGGTGAAATAAGAATAACATTAGACCTTCAGAAGGTTAATGAACTGAAACTCAAGAATTTCCAATTGGCCTATACAGATGACATTCTATATAAATTTCATGGTAACAAAGTTTTTCAGTATTAGATCTTAAGTGTAGATATTTCCAAGTTTCCATCAATCCATCTGACCACCATATTTTTGCTTTTCAACTCCATAGGGTAAGTGTCAGATGTGTCAGCTTCGCCAAGGGGCTAAGAATAGTGGGAAGTATTTTCAGTATGCCATGTCCTATTGCTGGAAAAATACATAGGGATGAGCTGCTATGTCTTCCAAGACGGCATTGTCCTATTCTCCTCAACAACTGATGAACATATCAAGGCATCGAAGAATGTGATTTCAATTATTAATAAAACAAACCTTAAACTAAACTCAAAGAATTGCAAATTCTTGGTTGTTGAGGTTTATTATTTTGGCCATGTAATTGATAAAAAAGGTGTCTGTTCTGACTCAAGAAACATCGATGCAATAGTACAAATGGAGGCCCCTAGTAATATGACTGATATCAGAAGTTTTCTTGGCATGGTAGAGTTTTTTTAGGAAGTCATTCCAAAGTTCTCCAAGGTGGCACATCTCACCGAGTTAACAAGAAAACACCAGAAATTCAGATTGGTAACTTGCTACCAGAATAGTTTTAATAAACTTCAAAACTTGGCCACCTTTTCTTGCCCATCCTGACTTTGAACAACCATTGTTCTTGCACACAGGCACTTTTGGACAAGTGTGTCACCACATCCTTGAACAATGGAGAGGAAGATTTAGTTCCAGTGGGATACTTTATCCACAAATTTCATGGTGCAGAATTGAATTACTCTACAATCGAGAAAGAGTGCCTCACCATCATCTTTACAATTTGACATTTTTGCTCATTGATTCTAGGTCAGCATGTTTTGGTCTTTTCTGCCCACAAGTCTTTATTGTACAATCAGAGCAACTGAGCTTTCAGATTTTAATATCAAAATTAAATATCTGAAAGGTCAAGACAACACTATAGCAGATTGCTTACCTAAAATACACAATGGCTCTTGATTATATTATGAACCAATAGTTACTAATGCTAACAGCAAGAAAACTAACTTGTTAGAAAAGATTATAATTTCTCAAGACAATGATGAATTCTTTGGCTCTATCAAGATGGCTTTGTTAAAGAACAGTCATCAGCCTGATAAAGCTGGCCAAAAAAAATTGATCCTCCCCAAATTTCAATTAGATAGATATAATCTTATCCATGTAAATCAAAAATTTATGGACCTGAGAAACAAGATGCACTTTCATTGGGAGAGTGGCTATACATAACATGATAAAACACTTTCATAGTTTCCAACTTGTGGGACATTGGAAATGAGAGAAAACTGTGAAACTAATTAGCTAGTACTACTATTTCAAGAGAATGAGGAAAAGCATCAGACATTATATAGAGCATTGCAAAGAGTGCCACTGTATAACCTTCATCAAGGTAAAGGCCCCATTCCAAGAGATGGAGGTTGCAGAGTATCTGTTTCAAAAATATCTTTTGACATCATAGGGCCCCTTGCCACTATATGTAAGGGGCAACCAATACATACTAGTTACGATCGATATCTTTACCTATTTTACCAAGACCTCATCATTACCTGATCAGTTAACACAGCAGATGCAATCTTTGACACTATTATTTGTTGTTATGGCTGTCCACAAGTGATCATCTATGACTGTGGTGCAACATTTACACCTCTATTTGAAAACGTGCAAAGATCTTGAAATAAAACAGAATATTATAACTGCATGTAAACCTTGTTCTAACTCTGTAAATGTGTTAACAAGTTAACAATTAATGTTATATCTTGCATATCTGACAGCAATAATGCTCAGTGAGGTCAATTCTTATGTCTGGCACTGCTTGCCTACAACATTAAAACCTATTCTTTCATTAACAAATCTTCTGCCTTCCTAATACATGTATTTGACCTGAAATGTCCTCAAACCCTGCAAATTATGAGTTTCCAAAATGCCCTGGACCCATATGATTATTGTGAATATATGATAAAAAAGCTAAGAATCATTTGGGACACTGCTGAAGAAGGTTGGACCCTATCATATAGTTCACATTCTCAAATATATAAATATAGAGATTGAAGAGAGTTCACAAGACAGTTTCTCTCTCCTCACCTCCACTCCGAATCCAACCGCTTACCTGCTACTGCTCGCATGACATAAAGTTGCAATTTCCAAGTCCTGGGAGACTCGGTGGTGTCACATCCTAACATGGTGTCAAAGAGACACCAACCCTACAATCACACATACATATGTACTTCAAGTTTAATTGTAGTATACTTGTATAATTGCAGTATATTTGTATAATTGCAGGTAAACTTAAAACTTTACAGACAGCTAGTGACATCTATTGACAGGTCTAGAAAATATTTTTGCATGATGTTTTTATATATCACACACACACACACAGTTTTCAGTTTTCGTTGGTTGCCTTGGATTTTGTCAGCATGCCCATTTGACCTAACTGTTAATTTTGCAAAAACAAAGGATGACCCACGCGTTTTCCCCCACTCCTCCCTCCTTGCAGTCTTCCATACACCAAGAAGTGTCTTCAGAAAGGTTAAATGCCATGTTAAATGTTCATTTATTTTTTACATTAGTCTTTTATATTCATTTTATATTAATTTCTTGTTGTTTTTAGTATTAAACACTATATTTATTCTCTATAAAATGTCTTTTTAGTATGTATTTTGGAGTGTCTAAAGCAAATTAATTGGATATACATTGATTCATATGGAAAAATTTGCCTCGGTTTTCTTCAGTTTCGGATTTCATTATTTTCGGACAGATTACTGACAAAAACTGAGGTATTACTGTATTTATATATATAAATGTGTGTGTGTGTGTGTGCATATTCCATAGAACCCACCACATATATCACATATATTTATGGGAGTACTCATGATATAAAATTCAGATGTATAACAGTTTGGCTCTATTTACATCACTGGTTCTTCTTAACATTTTAAATCTGACAAAACTGATATTTAGTAATGGACAGTTGATGTGCAAGCAATGTTGTAAGGTCTGGCAATCTGTTGTCAGATTTTGCAATATTTCAAGCTAGTAATTTTGCAATGATTTTTTCAATCTGGTGATTTTTCTATACTATTATAAATTTATTCAAAGTTTGTTAGAATTTTTTCTAAAAACAAGGCTGGAGTTGAGCTTAGGCAAACTAGACAATTATGTCTGGATAAGAAAGAAACATGTAAATTGATTTGTAAATTTTTATTTCTTTATATTTGAATTTAAATGGTTGATAAACACAGTGAATATTCTCTAAACCAATGAGATTTTGGGCTAACAACAACTGTAGAAAACAGATAGAAGCAAGTATTGTCATTGAATCGGATTGAATCGCTTGGAAAATAACTAGTATCGGATTGCATTGGCAAAATTCAGTATCATATCCTCTATGCTAAAAATAAAAAAATTTAAATATTTATAAACTTACCTTCAATATCCAAACAAAGGCGGTGAAACCAATGCAAAGGACAAGTTTCACAGAAAAGAATTTCCCCTTGTGTTAAATGTTTCTGATAATCTTGATGCGCATTATGGAATGCTTGCTTCAAAGTATGCATTATCTCATCTACCTGCATTATTTAACGAAGAAAATATTTCAAATTTTAATTTTATGTAAGAATTTGAAATTAATTTTTAAAGAAGTATTTCTTACAACTCTTGCGGCTTGACAACAGAATATATAACCTATATAGCTTTCTACACCGGTTAATGATGTTTCTTTACAGATAAATCCAAAATAATCTGGATTTTTTATACCCTATTAAAAAAAAAATTTTTTTATTTAACAACATATTCATTTTAATTTTGATCAAATATAAAAATAATCCTCAAAATTCCTTTAATTTTATGGCTAAAATTGTAATTGTAAAATTGGAGTCTGATTTGTTGTCAGTAGTTGCTGCTGCTAAGTTCTTCAGCTTTATCCTGTCTTCTTCATTTCTATCTTGTATCTTCAATTGCTCTTATTGAATTTGTATTTGTCACTTGCTGATTTATTGAATCCATGTCAGAGTTTGTTACTTACTTTATCCTTACTTTTGTTATTCCTTTATCTTCAGATCTGTGTATATCTTTCTTCAGTGATGAGTCTTCAAGTCAAAATATTTCCGAAACAATTTCCATCTTCATTTCCATAGAATTTTTGTCTATAATGATATACCTGCTCACAATTTCTGTAAACCAAATTCTGTAACCTTTCTGTCTTTCACTGTTCCAACTAAAATTCCTTCCTGTGCAAAAGCACCTCACTTTGTGCACCTTTTATTTTGGAATGTGTACACAGTTCTTACTTCCAAAAGTTCTTAAATGTTGCACATTAGGTTCTTTTCCATTCCACAGTTCATACGATGTTCTGGCAATGATCTACTAGGAAGACGATTAAGCTGCGATTTTCAAATTGCAGACCTATACATTCCCATTGTTATCTATCCTTTGTTAATCTCGAGAACGGTATTGCATAGATGAAAATCGAGACCAGATATGGAAAGCTTATTTTAAATTAAAATATGATTAATAATTGCAACGAGGAATCCAAAAATTTAATATAAAAATGGTGGTTTGTGACTTTGTTTACAAGATATGGTAGGGTGAAATTGATAATGTCCATGCTCCCTGTTGCAATTGAGTGTGCCTAATGGAATTTAAGGGGAAAAAAACAGCATTGCAATGTCTAATGGAAAATGGATGTGAAAAACGAACAGAACACAAGAACAGAGCAATTGACATCTATTGGTTTGTTCTCGAATTGCCTTATTCTTTCTGGCTGTGCCTCAATTCTACCATGATATGACAAAGTCACATAATGTCTCTAGTTTATAACAATTAGTCTATGGTAAAATAGATTTTGTTGTGTGTTGTTTTGCTTAAGGTTGCAATTTTCAAGAACCTATCAATGACATTAAGTGAGGTTCTATTGTATTCAATTTATTGACAAAACGTAAATAACAATTGAGTAATTGTTGCATTCTTAAATTAATTAATTTAAATTTAATTTAATTCATAAAAGTAATAAACAAAATAATTAATGAAGATATTTGAATATATTCATAGGATATTTGGGATCACATACCACTAATGTATAAAATTAATAAGGTTAAGGCCAAAGAAATGAGAAATATAGGAATTGTTTTTGCATTACTTTCTATAATTATAATTCATTTAGATGATATTACGTATAAATTAAATTAAATTTGAAACAACTAAATTATTTTTAATTTAAACTGCAATTTAAAACATAGTTGTTTATAATCATTTGTGTTAGAATACAATGATTGAAGTCATTTCTAATGTATTCTATATAATGTATCTAATATACAGGCACTCCCCTATGTACAAAAAGGTTAGGTTTCCAAGGTTTTGTCCAAAGTTGAAAACCAATGTAGAAAGTACGAGGCGTGTTCAAATGAAAGTGATTCGAAGCATCGCATGTGAACAGTTTTCAATGTATTTTCTTGAAACAAACGTGATAGGGAAGGTTTATGTACCACACATGCACGTGCGCAACCAGATTTGTGATAACTTCATTCATAAGGATGTGGCATTCATTTCAAAATGGCTGGTGTGGATGCAACTGCGTCCAAAACGGATCAGTGAGCTGTAATTAAGTTTTTAACACTGGGTGTAAGCCAATGGATATTCATTGTAGAATGCTGGTTGTGTACGGTGACACGTGTGTGTTGAAGCCCACAGTGACGAGGTGGGCGAGAATGTTTAGCGACAGTCGACACGAGACAAGGAATTTGCCACGGCCCGGTCAGGTGCACAAAGTTGTGACAGAGAAGCTGATTACGGACATTGACACTGCAATTGAAACATTCATGACGTCTCAAATGAGTTAAACGTTTCCATCGGTACTGTTCACAATATTGTCACCAACATTCTGAAGTATCGAAAAGTTTGTTGCCAATGGGTACCCCGCATGCTGTCTGAACATCATAAGAAACAGCAAATGGGCCTGAGTTTACAGCATTTGTTGCACTACAGGGATGACGGTGATTACTTTCTGCAGCACATAGTGGCAGGGGATGAAACCTGGTGTCACCACTTTCAACCAAAAGGGAAGTCCGTCAGCATGCAATGGAAACATCCCGGCTCACCTAGGCCCAAAAAATTCAAAACTCAGCAGTCAGCCGGAAAGGTGATGCTGACGGCATTTTTCGACATGCAGGGATCCCTATTACTGGAGTTCAAGGAGCCAAACGTATCCATCAATGCCCAACGGTACACCCAAACACTTGATAAGCTGCATAAGGCTATCAAAAACAAATGTCCTCGTATGCTGTCGTCAGGTGTCATCATTCTGCATGACAATGCAAGGCCATATGTCGCCAAGGTGTGTGTTGAGGCACTGGCTTGTAAAAAGTGGGAAGTCCTGGAACATCCAGCTTACAGTCCAGATCTGTCACCTTGCGACTATCACATCTTTGGACCGCTGAAGAAAAGTCTAATGAGTCAACGATTTCACTCCAACAAAGACGTAAAGGCTGCAGTTCTGAAATGGTTCCATGATCAACCAACATCGTTCTTCACGGACGTAATTCGTAACCTTCCTAAGCAATGGGACGCCTACCTAAACACTGTGGGTGATTTCTTTTAACAAACTTTGTATGCATTTCACTCATTAAATATTGTTTTTTCTATCTATGTATCTGTCTCATTTCTGTCCTTACGCATCTCATGGATACACACATCGAATCACTTTCATTTGAACATCCCTTATACATCAGTACACAATTGTTAGTGTTTGATCCTTCAATGTATTTAATAAAATACATTATGCTTGTTTACCTGCTCGCTACTGCTTATTTTGGATGTTTCAAATGCAGTTTTTTTCACCTAAGGCATTTAGTTTTATAATGTGGAGTTTAGTTTCCACGGTAATAGAACCACACTTCTTGCATTTATCTCCACTGATAGATTTACTATTATGTTTTGGAAACATTTTTGAAGAACTGATCATAAATGTTTATAAAAATTACAAACAGTAATGAAAAAATGCTATTACTGCAATGTTACCAACTTCAACACCACTTCACCAATGGTGTTAGAATGTCAGAATTCACATGAAAACAAAACTAGAAATAAACACACATTAATTACTTATTAAAAATTTATAATTTAATACTGGCTGAAGACTCACTTTGACATCACCCTAAGACCATCAAGAGACCTTCAGAATTCATGTGAAATTTAAATTTTAGACATACGGTCAAACTGTTCATAAATCCAAAAGTTTGTAAGTAGGGTAGCACCTGTTACTTATTAAAAATTTATAATTTAATACTGGCTGAAGACTGACTTTGACATCACCCAAAGACCACCAAGAGACCTTCAGAATTCATGTGAAATTTAAATTTTAGACATACGGTCAAATTGTTCATAAATCTAAAAGTTTGTAAGTAGGGTAGCGCCTGTAATCTATTATGATTGTATTATGTTATAATGATTTTGTAATGAATATTTTTATATAATAAAAAGTTGATGGAACTGGTAACAATCCCTTAGGAATTGTTAGCCACAATGACTTTCTTTTTGCTCTCTCCTTTCCCAACACTAATTTTCTGTTAAACAAATTGTGTAATCCTTTCTTTTTTGTCACGTAACTGGTTCTACAAGTTTAACCAGTTATATCATTAGAGAGGTTGAGGGCAAAGTTTTCATCTCTAATATGTGAATGTCGAATGTCAAGCGCCACTATTTTGTAAGCCTAAAAATTTGACAATACATTTGGAACATCATTGGAATCATGTTCAATGTTCCAAACACCATTGTCAAACTTCTAGGTTTACAAGATGGCAGCACTCAACGTTCGACATTCACATTTTAGAGATAAAAACGTCAGCCACAACCTCTCTATTTCCTAGAAGCTGACAAGTCTAACAATATATAATGTATGTTTTATGGTTATTTAATTTGTTTTCAAATGGAATCATTATCCTATGTTATATCTTGATGATGTATTCTGATAAAATATTTGATTGTGTAATAAGGATTACTGTATTTTTGTACAGAAAACAGATTTAAAATACAATTTAAAAGAGGATGAGAGTTACACATTAGCTATGAATTGCAATTATAAAATTATGTAGTAACAACTTCCATAAGTGCAAGTTATACAATTGGATGAATTATATGAAGATTTTACTTTTATTCTAGCAATTTTATATGGATTATATGTCATTGTAGGTCTTAAGCACAAAAATATAGTAGCTACATTTAACTTCTCATGGAAAAATTTAGTTTGAACTTTCAATCATCAAATATATAGAAATTCACATAAAAAATATTAAAATTATATATTTATCACATATTGAATAATATGACATTTATATTTGTAATTATATATTTTCATAAATACAAAAACTATTCATAAAGTCAATCCAAAATCCAGCAATATTAACCAATTGCACAAATGTTTTTGTCTACCTTCCAGTAGACATCTTCAAGTGGAATGTTACGATTCTACAAAAAAATTCTTTAGCATTGATGAAAATTCTAAGACATCATCTACATCCACCAATAAGTCAAGCACCACACTTACACATCTACATCCACCTTAGTCAAGCACCACACTTACAGCATGTACAATTCTAAATGAAGAATTCTTTTGTAGAATCGTAACATTCCACCTGAAGATGCCTACTGAAAGGTAGATGAAACCGTTCATGCAATTAGTTAATTGATGGATTTTGGGTTGACTTTATGAGTAATTTTTGTTTGTATATCCAGTATTGGGTTGTCATTCTTATATTCATATATGTAGATCTTGCTTATACTTTTAAAGTAGTTTAATAATAACTTGCTTTTTAAAACTACTTACCTGGGAACAATGAGAAATATCTTTGAAACATTTTCTAAGTAACACTTGCTTCTTATCAGTACTTAAAAGACACAATTCCAATTGTCCTATCACAAATAACATTGTTCGGTTATGAGTCTGACGACTCACCGAACTAGAAGTTCCTGCAATTTGTTTCAAGTTATCAGTTGGACCACAATAAAGAGGAAGTGAAGTCTGTTTAGTTGGTTTTATGGGCTTATTATTTTCTTTATCGTCAATTTTTTCTTGTTTTGCACATTTTGCTAGATCCTGTATTATAGTTTCTTTTGTGGGGGCATCTAAGCTCTGAGTATGAGTGATGAGAGAATGATCTGATGGAGGAATTAAAGTATTTGAAGATTCTTGTGAATTCTCTGAAGAAGAATTTTTGGAAGGACTAGATTTATCACAACTTTCTGAAATTGTTGACAAATTGGAAATCTTTTCATTGTCTTCTGGTGTCTGTGAATTTGCAGCTAAGCAACTTGTTTCACTTTCTGCTGGTGCCTCCTGTAAAGGAAAGAATTTCATTAACTGCTTAATAATTATAAATATATGACAATTAGGTCAATTAAAAGTTTACAAAGTAATTTAAAATGATATAACAATTCTTATAAACTGTAGAAATTGCAAACATTTCCAGACATTAAACATTCATTAATAAAATGAAGTACCATACTAATTAAGTGATTCATTGATTACAAGCTAACAGTTGAAATTTTATATTATAAAACACAGATTAAATAATCCATGCATTTGTTTTATAATAAAAATTTTATTTTCATTCATAAAACAATGTACATTTTCTTATATTTAAACAAAATGAAACAAATTTTTGAATTTTCAGTTCAAATTAATTTTTTTAAGTACACAATATTATATATCACATTGAATTAAAGCCCAATATTTTATAACATGATACCGTACAATTTTCTTCTGGTTAGTAAGGAAATGATTCATCTATTGGCTTCTTGATAGATATTTTTCCAGAACAACAAACAGCGGAAGTGTGAGGCTCCAGAAATGTCCCGGAACCACACTATAAAATCTAAAAACCACTAAATTTGTTAATATAAAATATAATTTTTATGTCCATAAAGGGAAATGTTAAATATAATAATGGGGGAAACCTTTTCTCAGAAATTAGACAAAGGAAAACTAGGCAATGCAAGTCCTAAGGTCAATTATCTCCGGTTGGGATCAAATTAAATGTCGATTTTGACTCATCCTACGATCTGAGTTCAGATCTCTTTATACTTAGTAATGAGTGATAACCAATTAGAAAGTGGGGATGAGGAAGAATAACCAATCGAAGTGGTTAATCAGGGACCAAAAATGATAAAAACTCTGAATTTGAGGACACAGAGTTTCTCTCTGATTTCTCGTAGCACTGCATCTTACTTGGTTGACTTCAATTCATCCTTGACTCAAACTGAAATGATCACCACCTTCAACAGATTTTCTCACAACAATGCCCAGGAGCAGTCATCTCCAAAGAGAACACTGAAGGATCCTTCTCTTGTCTTTCTCTCACTTTAGAAAAAAAAAAAACCTGAAGATTTACAGTCTTCACCTGCAGATCCAAAGATATTATTACTATATGCTTCATTTTTATGTTTAACTAAAATTGGGATGACTTTTTTGTAAATGTTGAGTCTGACTTGGTGTCTCGATAAGCAGTGAAGAGATTACTTTGATATCTCAAGAAAATAAAAATTACAAACTCTATTACAAAACAGAGACAGAAGAGCTGTCAAGTTTTTGTGATGCTGACTGGGCATCAAATCACATTGACAGAAAATCCACCAGTGAATATATAAGAGCTGTTTCTTTTAAAATCTCCAATGGTCCATAAAACAAAGACTAATATAAATAACAAAATTAATTTATTACCAAAAGTTAGGTACCCAAGATTAAATCCCGAGTGCACCATCGTACTATGCTGTACAATAGTATGATACATCGCAAACTGTTCTGAAACTCTAATTTAGAACATGCCATGGGCATTTGTAATAGGGCATTTCTCTCTCCCTGGGATCAGGTAAAAAATTCTGCAAATTATAATTGTAAAAGTGATTGAGATATTACCTTACACCCTTGACTATGGGGACACTTTGTCTTAAATTTTATTATGGGTTGGCCAGTTTTTGCCCTTGGCACCTAAAAAACTTAAATAATTAAATAACAATCTTAGTTATTGTACGGAAAGGATTTAAGAAGAATTTTACCTATAAAATAATAAATGACAGATCTTATAGACGATTACGAATTCTTTTAACATTGTTTTGATTGTTACTTACAGATAAATATAATTTATTTTGGATGTTTCTATTAAAAATAAATTTAACTTGAATAACACATTTAACTAATGCTTTAAATTATTTTTTTGAGGAAATTACAAATAAATTTAATAAAAATATTTAAGCTTACTATGGTTAAATAAAGAGAAACAACATTAAATTCTTTAAAAATATAACAAAGAAAAAAAAATCTGCTTTATTGGCATTCACTTAATACTTTTTTGTTGTATTACTGTAGTAATCTTTTAGAAAAATAAACAAAACAGTCTAAAAACATCTTTTATAATTAGGAGAGACCATTTCACATTCAGGCAGTTACACCAACAGACAATTTAAATTTTGTGATGCATATCTTGTCAAGAGACTTCCCAAGTTTATTGCTAAATGGCATTCGTGTATGGAATCGGCAGTATGAACTTCAATTTGATAGTTAAAAACATTTGTTTCTACATTAATTTTTGCTGGAAATTTAGATTTCAGTTTAACTTTCTATTTTGATTGTTACTTTCCATTCTTTTTACTATTTTTAGTTAGCATTTTTGATAAATGTTTATTTTCTTTTCTTTTTATTTTGATTTTAAAGATTTAAATATATACATTTAGTATAACATGACCAATTTCTCTTGTTGTTAGCTTATGCTGCTAACTAGATGAGATGCTGACTTAAATGATTATCTTGGCAATGGCTTATATCAAATAAGTAGTATTTGAGGCACCTAGTAAGGTGTATCTCTTTTCAGGGGTCAATCCAGTATGCCAATCAATTTGATCGCATTCACTCGTAGTGTTGTCGTTGTGCTGGGTAAATAATTCAGACAGGATAATATGTTTCCCGGGCAGTTGCCAAGTATTTATTACCACATCTATATACAAACTTTACAGCTATATGTCAACCTCGAGACAATGTTCGAGGCGCGAAGTGAAGACACGACCAAGAAAAAGCACGTCGACCATAAGAGTGGGATTAGACTTGGTCTGACGTCACATAGGAAGGGAACGGTGGTCAAGCACCATGTCGCCAACTACCACATATTCTATACGAGAATTAAAACAAACATTCCTATTGAATTTATTTTAATAAAATATTGTTCAGATTTATCAGTGAAAGTAGACTCTTACTATCAGTGATGCAATTCAGCTTGTTTGCACCAGTTCAGCAAAAATATTTTTAGTTTGGAAAACTTGTTGTGGAAACTGTACTTGTAATATTTATTTAGGCAATTTATCACAAAAGTTCATGTTTGTGTGAGACTGTTAACTTTTTCCCAGCTCAATGCAAATGGGAGTGAAACAAAAACAACACTATGATATGCAATAGGTTAATTAGAGAAAACGAGATGTTAAATTGCAATTGTCCTGTGACCCCTATTATGCATCTTATGTTTTCTGTTCAACTCAGAAATATAAGTGATAAGCTCTAGGCACAAACATCTGTGTTTCTGAATTCACGAAATGCAGGACAATAAATATATTTCTAGGACAATTTTGCATATCAATTAGGGTTTCTGAAATTTCCTGGAAAATATTGGGATTTGGGAATATTTTAGTTTTATTACCAGTAGTATCTGTAAACTGAAAAATATATTATAGTAATAATTTGCAAAACTGTAAAACAACACTACACCTCAAACTTCATAACACATACATCAAAAATTGAATACACATAACTTGATGAACTTTCCACGGAAACTCAATAAGTCTACTCTGAAAACCAAAGTAGCCTTGAACCCATCAAACTAAAGTAACCAAAGTGCTTGGCCTTGAATGTACTAACAGATTAAACAACACTAAATACCAATACAAACATCAAATACAACAAAATGATACAATACATATTATCTCATCTTGTGTACTGTACATTATACAAGTCTGTATGCAAATACATTTAAGTTATTTACATTAATTACATAAAATGTTATGCATACACACAAGCACAGCTAAATTACTAGTCAGATGTTATACACACTTACCAGTGGCGTAGCGAACATAACTGGCGCCCGGGGCACAACACTTTATTGGCGCCCCTTTCCCCTCCAGAAACACATATAGTTTGTCTTGGAGACCATTTGGGTGCCCCTCTGCGAGTGGCGCCCGGTGCATGATACACCTGCTTAGTAATATTGCATTTGGATATATGAATTGAATTATACAGGGTATCCTACATAAATTTGGCCCAACTGTGATAATGAAACATTAGTGATGTAAATTTTATAGGGAGTATTTAAAAGAAAAAGCATATGAGACCAATCTCAGAATTATAAGTAAATTATAAAAACATTTGCCAAAGCATTAAAGCTATTTTTTTTTTTTTACATAGTATTTTATTTAAGGTCAATCCGAACATGATTACATGTGCACAAACATGCATAGTTGCAGAAGGACACTACTTTCAGCATCTTCTGCAAGTATCTGTATGTTTAAATAATGTTAAGATAAAGGTTCTAACAAGCATCCTTTGTCTAAATTTATTTGTATTGTTTCCAATGAGTGATACCAATTTCATGTGGGACATTCTGTATTTGAACTGAATTTTGTTAACAGTTCTAATGATAAAATTTCATAGGGTATTAATATTAATCAATAAATTTAATTTTATTCATATCAACCAAATTATTTCTTTAAAGTAAATAAACAAACTCCTTTCATTAAGAAGTCTTTCTCAACACTTACATTTTCTTGATTTATTCTCATTTTCAGATTTCCTTTTAACTTTTCATATCTTTGACTGACTTATGATCTCGGAATCAAACCGAATCAGTTTTAAATGAATCAGCAATAAACCGGTGGTCCAAAGATGAGTATAAATCTCAAAAATATTAATCAGAGTGTTGTAAAAAATTTCTTAATGTAAAAAGTTTCTTTATTTATTTGATTAGATTTAAAGAAATAAGCTCGAGATAAGAAACATAAGAGTACAGTGGTGTACTCAGAGGGAGACCAAAGGGCCCTGGCACCCCTAATGTAAAAGGAAAGAAAATACTAGTAAATTTTCCAAAAATCTTTTCTTAATTAAAATTCATTTGTTTATTTATATTGTGTCATGTCTTCTGTTTCTATATTACTTATGTATCAGCAGTCACATAAGGTGGAAATTTATTGAATTTGCATTAAATTTTTTTTTTTATCCATTTAGCTCGGCTCCTCCAGGATTAAATCTTGTGCGCACCACTATACAAGTATAAATACATTCTAAATTATATTAAATTTTAT